ACCTTTTCCTGTTGAGGAGCAGCCTCCTCCTTCATCAGATTAGCTTAGGATTTTTGATTTTATTTTTGTTAGTTGTGGTTGTAATGAACATTGTTGTAATTAACTTTTTATTTAAAAAATTTTGAAGTTATTTTGGTGTTTGTTTCTTGTTTTTGTTTTAAGAAAATCACTTCGGATAAAATAACGTGAATTTAATTAATGTAAGGAACTGACCTCAGACACACAATAAAATGAACAGCAAAGGAACTGACTTCGGATATACATGAAGCGGACCTCAAATATATAAATGAAAAGAGATGAAGTAAATCACTTCCAAAGTAAAGTGTAATTGATTAACAAAATCGTAACCTAGAAAGTGAAGTGACTAAATAAGTCACAATGAGTTAACTTCAGGAATAAGTGAAATTCACTTCCAACATACAGAAGGGCATAAAGAACTGAATCACTTCGACTGTGAAGTAAAATTCATTAATGAGATAAATGAATTGAGCTCGTATATACATTGAGCAGAAAGAATAATGACAATCATAAAAATAAGACAAAGTTCACTGGAAAGAAGTGTATTAAGGGTAAAATTTCTTAAGGGTAAAATTTCTTCAAGTTATTGACATTCTAGACTCTAGGAACCCTTTTGCCTTCAATGTCCTGTAGGATATAAGCATCTGGGTGCGGCACTTCGACTACAGTGTAGGGGCCTTTCCAGTTTGGTGCTAACTTTTCGAATCGAGTTTCGAACCTCGTTAGACCAACTTTCCTGACAACGAGGTCTCCTACTTTGAATGTTCGGGGTCGAACTTGTTTGTTGTAGAAGTTGGCTATTTTCTGCTTGTAAACTAGAGTTCGAAGTCATGCTTCTTCTCTGACTTCATCAAGCAGATCAAGATTCTCACGAAGCAGTTGTCTGTTTCGTCCTTCATCGAAATGGGTGACCCTGAAGCTTGGGACTTCTATCTCGATACGAATGACTGCTTCGGTACCAAAGGCCAGGTGATAAGGTGTTTCACCTATTTCAGTTAATTATAATTTTAGAATGCGCTTTACGTGTTATGCATATTTGATCTAAGGTGCTGTAGAAGAAAAAGTAAAATAATATGAAAGTTAATCAAGTAGACCAGGTTTGAAGTAATATCTGTGGCAGTTCAGCTCGTGGTTCTGTATGCCTAGAAGACGTTGTTGAGCTCGTCTACCCACCTAGCCTTATGCAGCTATAACCTTGGTTTTATTCCCTCGAGTATAACCTTGTTGACAAATTCTACCATCCCATTAGACTCTGAGTGGTACACCGAGGTGAACTGCAACTTGATCCCATAACTGGAGCAGAAATCTCTAAATGAGGAGCAGTTGAACTGAGTTCCATTGTCAGCCACAATCTAATTCGGGATTCCATATTTATAAATGATTGAGCTGAAAACGAAGTTTTCGACCTTCTTGGAGGTAAGACTGGATAATGGCCGTGCTTCAACCTATTTTGTAAAATAATCCACAGTAACAATCAGATGGGTTACACCTCCTACCCCTTTCATGAACGGACCTAAAAGATCAAGTCCGCACTGAGCAAATGGCCAAGGTGTTACCAGATTAGTGAGCTCTTCTGCTGGCTAGTGAATTAGATGTGCAAAAAACTGACATTTCTGACACCTTTGTACGAACTGAGTGGCATCCTTATACATGTTGAGCCAATAATAACCTTGTCTAAGGACTTTATGAACCAAAGTTCGAGCACCTATGTGACTTCCGCAGACACCTTCATGCACCTTCTAAAGTGCATACTCAGCCTCATAAGGGTTCAAGCAGCGGAGTAGAGGGAGTGAGAAAGATCTCTTGTAGAGGACTTCATTAACAAGGGTATATCGAGATGCTTTCTTCCTCAACCTCATCTCTTCTTGTTTATCTATATGCACTGTTCCATCTTGTAAAAATGAGATAATTGGATCTGTCCAGCATAGTGTGCTAGGATCTGTGCTGATCTTCATCATTTTTGGCTTTTGGAAGCTAGGCTTGTCCAGAATTTCGACAAAAACTGATTTGGAGCTTTGGTTGCCATCAAAAGCAAATTTGGAGAGGGAATCTGCTTGCTCATTTTCAGCTCAGGGTATTTTGCTCAAATGGAATTTCTGGAATTTGGATTTTAGCTTAGCCACTAGAGTTGCATACCTCATCATAACAAGATCAATCACTTCACAAACTGAGTTGACCTAATTGACTACTAGCTGTGAATCACTGTATATTTGTATTGCTGCAACCTTCAGTTCTATTGCCAACTGTAAGCTAAGTAGCAGAGCCTCATACTCAGCCATATTGTTTGTTGCATCAAAGTTAAATTTTAGAGCATGTTCACTTCTATACCCATCTGGGCCAAGTAGGATTACACTAGCACCAGAACCTTTGTTACTTGATGATCCATCAACATACAGAATCCAGCTGTCCGGCCCGAGCTGGGAACCAAAGTGAGTCGAGGTGCATTCTATTATGAAATCTACAAGAGCCTGAGCTTGGATTGCTGACCTCTGCTGAAATATTATCTCAAATTCTCCCAGATCAACTACCCATTTGATCAATCTTCCTGAGCATTCTGGCTTCTATAAAATTTGTCTGAGGGGCTGGTCCGTGAGGACTATGATTGGGTGCGATTAGAAATATGGTCTTAGTTTCCTGGCCAAGGTGACAACTGCTAAGGCTGCTTTCTCAGCAATAGAATATCTGATTTCAGCTTCGTGTAACACACTGCTGGTGTAATAAACTGGCTTTTGTTGCCTCCCCTCTTCTCTCAGTAGCACAAAACTGATAGCTTCATCTAATATGCCAAGGTACAAGTAAAGGATTTCTCCATCATTGGCCTTTGTCAGCAAAGAGGGTGAGCTAAGATAAGACTTCAACTCATCAAATACAGCTTGAAATTCTGAATTCCATTCAAATTTCTTTTGTTTGCCAGATTCATCCTTCTGGGCTGCTAATCTCATTATCTTGAAGAATGGCAGGCATTTATCTGCTGATTTCAAGATGAATCTATGAAGAGCTGCTACTCTCCTTGTCAACCTCTGTACATCTTTTACTGACTTCGGTGGTTCCATTTCGGCCACTGCTTTGATCTTCTCAGGGTTAACCTCAATCCCCCTTCTGGACACCATGAAGCCTAGAAACTTTCCTAACTCCACACCGAAGATGCATTTTGCTGGATTCAACCTCACTCTATTCTTTATGAGATTGTTGAATGTCTCCTCGAGGTCAGTTAAGTGATCTTCAGCTTTCAAACTCTTCATCACGATATCATCAACATATACTTCCAGATTTCGGCATATTTGAGCTCGGAATACAATGGTAACCATCTTCTGGTAAGTGGCACTTGCGTTCTTTAAACCGAAAGGCATCATCACATAGCGATAGATTTCATTGCCGGCATAGAACGAGATTTTTTCTTTATCCTCAAGAGCCATTGGAACCTGGTGATAGCTAGAGTATGCATCCAAGAGACTTAATCTTTCATTTCCAGAAGCTGCCTCAACCAACTTATCAATGTTTGGCATTGGGTAACAGTCTTTTGGACATGCCTGGTTGAGGTTATTGTAATCGATGCACATCCGCCATTTGCCATTTGCTTTTTTCACCAACACAGGATTGGCAACCCATTCACAGTAATCAACCCGTCTGACGAAACCATCTTGTAAGAGTTTTTCAACTTCTTCTTTGATGACCT